GGGGGGGGGAGAAAGGAGAAGAAAAAAAAGCTAGGTGCAGTGCATCGTTCTCCTCACCCCACGTTGGCGACCCCCCCTTGATCCGTTCGTTGGCCGAACAGAAAAGGTTACGTACAAGGGGCCGTAGGGCCGGCGCGAATTTCCCCGCTCTGAAAGGCGTCTCCACCCTTTCGCCTGGCTTCTCTGACACTAGTCCTGGAATTCTTCCGCCGGGCAAGACGCTGAGTCTGGGCTGCAGGTAACACCTTCCCCTCTCCACGAAAGGTTTAGAATGGGGGACCCTTTTTACTGGCAGTGTAACAGAGGCGGTGGGAACTGTGCACCGTAGGACGGCAGAAACGGCCTCCTATTGGATGTGCGGGGAAAATAGTCGTGGTGGTGAGGAGTTCCTTGGCCACGCGCTATCTACTGTTTTTCTCCCTTGAAATCGTTTTTGTCAAATCGCGTTAGCGCACCAAAGACTCCATCGAGCGCCACGGGAAGGCATGGTTTTTCCAAGACTTGTAGGCTTGCAGGGGACTTCTAGCGGCCGCAAAGGACGTCGCAAAATAAATTCGGGTTTCATCGGTTACAGCGATCAGCTGCTTGCCGTCCGGGAGGGAAGAAGCCACGTACACAACAGGGGAGGATCACTTCAGGCGGCTTCCCTCAGCTGAGATGGAGGGTGTCGTGGCCGACACGTTGAAAGTGGTCGGTGCTCGGGGCGGTGAGAGAAAGCTCTGTACCCGACATCATGTGAACGTCACGAAGCTGCAAAGAACTTTGAGGAGCAAACATCGCTTGACACGCAGGCTCGATGGGTGGCCCACGCGAGATAGTCTCAGGCCCCGGCCGAAGAGAGCAGGGGCGACGGCGGACCGGGGCGGAGGACGATCTTGCTTGACGGTTGCTGAGTCCATTCTACGCCACTCTTCCTAGAGCGCAGCCCGACTAAAAGCAGGCTTGAGCCTTCTTCGACGTCTTCTCATAGGATAAGATTGGCACTGCATTGGAGTTTTCATGAGACGAGTAAGGCTTGCATCGTCTTTTTCCGTCAAGATCTGAGCTGGGGGTTAGTGTGAATCTCGGTATCATTTTGGTCATAGCAGACAATGCTGGGTTCGGCGACCGCCGCTTGTGACAGGTGCTGTCAGAGGCAACCACCGGGCAAGCCTCCCCTGTTCTCTGCAGCACTCAGCCCCCTTCCATCCTTGATTGGTCTACATGGAGTGCGACGGCTGAAGTATTCGTGATTCGACACTGCACAGGCGAGCGACGGGTTTTCAAGTTCAACTCTTTTCCTTCAGACGGTGTGCCCACGAGAAATGTATCAGGGAGAAAACAAGATGGCACCTCCCTTGTTATCGCGGCCCAATGATCGGGCTTTTCTTTTATAGATTCCAACTACCCCAACCTCTACCGAGGAACGCACTGCACCCGGGCGGTGGCAAGGTTCCGCCGCTTCTCGGCGTCGCCGTGGTGACCACGAGGGTGAATGACCCGAGCGAGGGATGAAGGTGAGCTGAAACATCAGGTGCAGGCTCCTGGTTTGTTTTCACAACGGGCCTTTGGCCGGTCTGTCACATCGTTATTGACGGGTTGATCGACGGGCTTCCGACCCAGGGCCGCAGGCATCGCGTCCCTCTTTGCCCTCGACTTTCCTATGACCTGACCGCACAACCCAAAGTTTCCCACCCATTCACCGAACCCCGAATCCTCCTAGCGGCCGATTTCCACGTTGCGAGCGGCAGACTCAGCGACGCAACATCGCCGGTTCGCACGATGAGACAAAATCCTTCCGTCCTCGGCCTAACAAAATGAATCTCTATCCTTGACCGAAGGAAGAACAACCGTCCACATACTCTGGGGTCGGTTTGTCCCTATGTCTTTTGACACCCGCGATGACCGAATCCCTTTCTGCGCACACGACCATCGGTCTGCCCCAATACCCGTCCTTGCCGTCATCTCCCCCTAGTCTCGCGAACAGAGAATCTGCTAATATGGAATAATCGACAATCGAACCCCGGCTGGCCGTTGTGGTTCTCACCTCTACCCACGGTCCTTTCAGCTTCTTCTGCGAACAGGTGGACGCTAGACACTGTGGCTAAGGCACTTGAGAATATTGTGAGCTCACGCTGAACTTCAAAAGCTGCGGCTTAGGGACCAGAGAGACAGATATGGACATGGATAAGAGTATAGATGAGAGAGAGCGGTCGCTCGTTTAAGATCGATTCGAATGTCATGAAGGGTAGTAGGACGACGGAGCCAGAACAATTATACGCCCATGTCAGGACAGAGACGGGATACGGCGTTAGAGAGCAAGCAATCGTAGAGCACTCGAGCTGGCTCTCATTGTGGCATTTGCAAAATCCATCAGTGGTAAATTGAGTATGCTTCGGGGCGCGCAGACTCAAATGGAAGAGAGGGAAGGACCCCTGGACAACATCATCACCCGCGAAAGGGGAGAATAGTAGATTGCCCTTTTCTCTAGTTGACCCATTTCTAGACCTTTCTATCAACAGATCCTTTGAGATCTAGTCAAGGGTGACTAGGTTGGCTCATACAAAGGGCTCTTTCTGGATGTATATCTGACAACCGCAATTGCTTCACCGAATCTGGTGGAGCCAAATCAGTCTTCAGCCGAGGCCCATTCTCAGAATGTGACATAAGTATTACTATGGCTTAAATGACTCTAGAATTGAGTTATTTGAGGTACCTTTTTACCATCTGTAACGTATGACCCCATAGTGTCGTTCAGTCACAAGAACACGCGGCACTAGTCACGTGATGCGACACCACCAGCCCCCTCACCTCGAACTCGATGTCTTTAGAGCCGATTGATATTCATTAGGTCTCCAATTCGGATAGCGAGATGATACACCGTACGATAACCTCTATTCTCGGATTCCTCACGGTCGACCGCAAGCTCCCACGAGTCCTAAAGAGACCCAGTCCTCCCAGCGGCTTCGCCCTCCTTCACAGCAAGTACCGGCTGTCCTCCTGACAATGGATCCTCACGTCGACTTTCCGAGACATCTTGACCCCTCATTGCGTGGCAGTATGCTTCTCCCTTCAGAGTAGAAATCTCATCCGATCGTGAAAAGGGTCGCAAGCGGAAACAAACGGTAATAACTCTCATTTGACCGAACTACTCCGTCTCTCAAGTTTGCATATCTGAAAGATTCACTTGGTCGAAAGGCAACCGGTTGAGATACTCGCAAGTCTCGTAGGTGTGACTGAGGGAAGAAATAAATGCGAGGCGTTATGTGTTTATATTGCGAAATTCACCCCCAGAAACAGAATTCCCTAATGGACTGACTGACTTTATCGCTGACCTTTGTTGGGGATCCGATAACGGAGACAATCAGGGTTGTTAGAAACGACGTCATTGAATCAGGTATGGGGTGTCCATTGCAACTGGTGACCAGGGGTCCGGTCTCGTCCGTATCGCACAACTCCGCATTCGCGTGACTGAGCATGTGTCATAGAATAATTGGTCGATATTACAATGGCAATGACAATGCCTCACAGCGGTTTCATTACCCTAAGACAACTTTGGACGCCAAAAACCCATCTCCATCGTTACAATGATGAGGGGTTGTAGTGTTCAAGATCTGATAGGATATCCTCCCTACCAGTTCATCGAGAGTTCATCGGATGATGCAGCTAATGTGGTGTCACGCGGCATGTGAAAATTTGGTCGTAGCCGAGACTGTTAGATCGCTCGTGATGTAAAGAGCCTATCTGTGCTTTCCAACAGGCCCCTTTTGACACTGCGCTCGACCGAACCAGGATGGGTATCGTGATAGAGAGATTGAGGGGGTTCAATCGAACTGAGATAGACATAAAGCCATAGGAGCATAGACGTTATAAATACAAAATCCGCGCCAATATGTAAGAGGGGGAAGAAAGACTTGTTTGTTTGAAGCGGATTGTGAAGTGGGGTTTCATTGTCTATATATTGGAACCACAAATTTCTCAAATAGGAGCCCCTTGCGAATAACGGCACCTTTTCACCCTTCAGGTTATATCTTTTTACCGATTTTCTTGTCAGATCCTTTATTTATTTTATCCCATTCTCTTAGAGTGTCAAGCATCGACTGACTCTGATACAGCTTCTACTTAATAGCGATGCCTGTATGAGTGTGCCTTCACATCTTTATCGTCTACCTAGTATCTTATCATCATAACAGCAACATGGAGAACCGCCAGCGAACGACAAAATTGAGACGCAGGGGACCTATCGTCTCTGGGCAAAGTCGGCGGTTGTAAGTTACCTGGACGGACGAACGGAGAATATCACCAACCCTCAAGGCTATTGGATCAAAGTAACCGAGGGGATGGTTGTGAGATATTTTGAAGGTTATCACTCCAGGGAAGATGAACGACCGAAATAGGGGGAGGAGCTATTTTTTTCTCACTTTAGGAGTCAAGCTGAATGGAGAATATACTGTGCGGGCTATAGAGCGGCTCGATGATCATCCTCTAATAGACTTAAACTTGACAGCACCTGAGACTGGAGGCTTAGTGCTCGAGCAAAAGCCATAAATGTGAACTATGATTGAGGGTGCGTGGCTGCAATGAATTGCTGGATAGTACTTGGTGACGACACATCTAAATTGTCAAATGCCCGTCCGAAGGGCAGCTCGATCGTGAATGTAGCCGTATTCGCTTCTCCCAAGCGGAAGACCATGTTCCCTTGCAGGGAGTATTGAAAGAACTTTTCCGGAGACCAGGACCGTTCTTCCGCTGCCTCATCCTTTGCCAATACCATAGACAGAAGTGTTCCGACAGTTATACTTGAGCGATAGTGATATTCTGCTACAACCAGTCACGTAATGTCTTTATTGGGCTGGGAATGGATATACACTTACCAGGAGGGAACATTTGGGACACGGGTACATTACCCGTACATTCCTGTGGAAATTCTGCGTTCCCTCCACAGGAGGTTTCACCTTGTCCTAGCGATGCCTGTTCTTGAAGAACACCTTCTCCCTTCGCAACCTCTTTTAGGAAGTCGTCTCGCAGTTTATTGAGCTCTTCCCTGGTCGGCCTTGAGGTTCGACATTTTTTCTCTTTGTAGGTGTGCTTGAGTAGCTGCATAGAACCAGAGAATCCTTTACCACAACTTCCGCATCGACGACTCCGGGGTTTAAGATCTTAATATCGATCAGTGCTTAACCCTCAAGAACAATTAGGCAACATACGAGTTATTTGCCAATGTAAAACCATATCATCGAGACGTAATTCCCTCCCCCCATCACAGCCTCGAGGACATTTGACTCGAAAATGCTGGTCGGACTGTTTCAGTTCAGACGGCTGCAAATCCGGAAGTCGTACGAGTTGGGGGCGTAGCCTCGTGAATAGGCAGGAAGTATGGGTAGAAGGAAAGCACTGTTCGCACACTAGCGATCCAGCTTTCACAGAGCACTGCTGATCCTTCTCGATACATGGAGCGCACCGGGATTCCAGGCTAAAGTGCATGACTGCGTACTCGTATACCTCGAAGTCAGTGGGAAGTCAAAGAAGTCAGTGGGAAGTCAAAAGAAGTCAGTGGGAAGTCAGAGAAGTCAGTGGGAAGTCAGAGAAGTGGGAAGTCAGAGAAGTCAGTGGGAAGTCAGAGAAGTCAGTGGGAAGTCA